GATTTCGTGGCAGGCACAGCACTTTGTGAACCTCCATGTGCAGATTTCGGGGCAGGCACAGCACTTTGTGAACCTCCATGTGCAGATTTCGTGGCAGGCACAGCGCTTTGTGAACCTCCATGTGCCGATTTCGCGGCAGGCGCAGCGCTTTGTGAACCTCCATGTGCAGATTTCGTGGTCGGCGCAGCACTTTGTGAACCTCTTTTATCCCACAAGAGTTTCCTACAAGAGTGTCACAAGAGTGTCCCGCAACAGTGTCCCACGAGAGTGTCTCACAAGTGTGTCCCTTAAGAGTGTCCTACAAGAGTGTCTCACAAGAGTGTCCCACAAGAATGTCCGACAAGAGTGTCCCATAAGAGTGACCCACAAGAGTGTCCTATAAGAGTGTCCCACAAGAAGTGTCCTACAAGAGTGTCGTGTAAGAGTGACCCACAAGAGTGTCCTACAAGAGTGTCCCACAAGAGTGTCCCACTAGAGTGTCCCACAAGAGTGTCCTACAAGAGTGACCCACAAGAGTCTTCTACGAGAGTGTCTCACAAGAGTGTCCCACAAGAATGTCCCAGAAGAGTGTCCCGCAAGAGTGTCCTACAAGAGTGTCCCAAAACAGTGCCCCGCAAGAGCTTCCTACAAGAGTGACCCACAAGAGTGTCCTACAAGAGTGCCCCGCAAGAGTGTCCAACAAGAGTGTCCTACAAGAGTGACTCACAAGAGTTTCCTACAAGAGTGTCCCAGAAGAGTGTCCCACAAGAGTGTCCTACAAGAGTGTCTCATAAGAGTGTCCCACAAGAGTGTCCGACAAGAGTGTCCTACAAGAGTGACTGACAAGAGAGTCCTATAAGAGTGTCCCACAAGAGTGTCCTGTAAGAGTGTTCCACAAGAGTTTCCTACAAGAGTGACCCACAAGAGTGTCCTACAAGAGTGTCCCACAAGAGTGTCCCACAAGAGTGTCCCAGAAGAGTGTCGTATAAGAGTGTCCCACAAGAGTGTCCTATAAGAGTGTCCCACAAGAGTTTCCTACAAGAGTGTCCCACAAGAGTTTCCTACAAGAGTGTCGCACAAGAGTGTCCCACAAGAGAGTGTCCTACAAGAGTGACCTGCAAGAGTGTCCTTTAAGAGTGTCCCACAAGAGTGTCCCACAAAAGTGCCCCGTAAGAGTGACTCACAAGAGTGTCCTACAAGAGTGTCCCACAAGAGTGTCCCACAAGAATGTCCGACAAGAGTGTCCCATAGGAGTGACCCACAAGAGTGACCTATAAGAGTGTCCCACAAGAAGTGTCCTACAAGAGTGTCCTGTAAGAGTGCTCCGCAAGAGTGTCCTACAAGAGTGACCCACAAGAGTTTCCTACGAGAGTGTCTCACAAGAGTGTCCCACAAGAGTGTCCCAGAAGAGTGTCCGGCAAGAGTGTCCTACAAGAGTGTCCCAAAACAGTGCCCCGCAAGAGCTTCCTACAAGAGTGACCCACAAGAGTGTCCTACAAGAGAGTCCCACAAGAGTGTCCCACAAGAGTGTCAAGAGTGTCCCAGAAGAGTGTCCCACAAGAGTGTCATTTGGGCATATGGAACGTGTTTGCATTCGGGTTCGTGGGTTCTATCTTGTTTTGTTTTTTTTTGGGGGGGTGTAGCGTGTATATATATATATACATATGTATAGATTGAAGATGACAATTTGGATTATTCTCCAATCAGGTTTACCTGTGAGGGGTTCTTACTCCTTTGAAAGGGTTGCGTGCCTGGGCCGCATGATATTACATTTGTCTCCGGGCTTGAGTTTCAGCCACACTGCGGTTGCTTTAGCCGCATGATTTCACACTTGTCTCCCTTGTCTTCCTTGTCTCCAATACACTCTGGTGCTCTGGCCGAATGATTTTACACTTGTCTTCCACTTGTTTTCGTTGTCTCCAGTACACTCTGGGTGCTCTGGTCGCGTAATTTTACATTTACCTCCAACTTATCTCTCATTTATTTCCCACTTATTTCCCTTATCTCCAGTGCACTCTGGGTGCTCTGGTCTCCAGTAAAGTCTGGGTGCTCTGGTCTCCAGTAAAGTCTGGGTGCTCTGGTCGCATGATTTTTCCCACTTGTCTCCCTTCTGTCCTAGTACGCGCCCTGCTTGTCTCCTTGCTTGGGTACTCTTGGCCGGCCACTTGTCTCGGCCTACTCTGGATACACTTGGCCGGAGGTTTTTACACTTGTCCCTTTGCCTGCTTCCCTGCTGGGATACTCTCGGCCGGACGATGTTACACTTGTCTCCCTCGGTGCCCTTCTCTCCACTTGTCTCGGCCTACTCTGGATACGCTTGGCCGGATGTTTTTACACTTGTCTCCACTTGCCTCTTTGCTAGCTCCCTGCTTAGACACTCTTGCCCAAATGATTTTATATACACTTGTCTCCCACTTGTCACTTGTCTCCCTTCGTGTTACACTTGTCTCCGCTTGCCTCGGACTACTCTGGATACACTTGGCCGGAGTTGTCTCTTGCTTGTCTCCTCATTACATACTCTTGGCCTTGGCCGGGTCTTCGCTTGTCTCTTTGCTTTGGGTTGAAAGCTTTAACATCTTTTAACCCAACACAGCATGATAAAGCCACATGTCAGTACAACTCAGCATATTCAATAGACTGGCGTATGTTCTGTTTTCGTCTGAACTGTTGGTCCGGACCTTGAGCCAATTGAGCCAAGCGCTGGAACAATCCCAGAAGGTTGATCACCGCGGGCTGGAACGGTTTGAGCCATTGACTGTTTGATAGGTCGCCTCTGGCGTACTTCACAAAGGCACAAACTGTTTGGGGTCTACGCTAGTATAAATATAGTGTTGAGTGTTGGGCTCATAAAGCTGGTCCTGTGTTATATTGGATGATCAGCTCTTTTGCTTCGCGACATGGCCAGTCCTCGGGCCAGTCCCTCTCACCGGTTGTCTCATGTTATCTCGATTTCGGTGCAGGTGGAGCTAAAGGCAATATCCCAGGAGGAGGAACAGAAGCGCCAGCGCTGGGAGCAGGACGCATTGTTTTTTGCCTTGGCACACTGTCGTCAATAGTGTTAGGAAACCCCCAAATAGCACATGATGGCACAAGGTAAGGATGCGTCAGCTTGCCTACTGCCCTAGAATTCCACTCCACATTGTGGTGGGGTGGTCTGAACCTTGCAAATCCTCGTTGATTTCGGTCTGTAAAGGAAGGCTTTCCATGTCTGGTGTTTTTGGAAGAGGTCGCGTCTCCTTGATCCGACAATCCGCAGCTCGAGCAGGAGCTCTGGTCTGATCTGACGCAGCTGAGATACTCGCTTGGAAACAGAAATTGTCAGATTTCTTGCTGCATTGCTTTATTTGTCGATAATCAACACATATGTCCGTACTCGGACCCTCCAAACCTAGATAAACGTGTCTCCAATCGCTTTTCAGAGGGTAATTATGTGGATCCATAGATACATGTATATTCCAGGATAACGTTTTTAAATGTCACGGACATTGACGTTGATCAATCATCACAAGGGCTACAAACATTTGGCGCGAAAAAGATTCACATTTCCCCATTCTCATTTCATTTACGGAATTTCTCACGATTCTTCTCCCCTTCTGTATTTGCTTCTCCCTGGCCGATCCATGTTGTCCATGGAATACAGCTTGCCGAGGTCCTCAAAACGCACGATTTGAGACTGAGACCGTGTGGTTGTGTTGTTGTGGGTGACACCGTTTGCCCCTCTGAGCATCTCCCACCCCATCCCCTCGACGCCAGACGACCTGTTGGCCGCGACCAACGGCGGTGTTGTAGAACAGTTTCAGAACTCATTTTGTCACGAGTCAACAAGTCAAGATGGATGGTGAGATCTGGTGAGTCAAAGCATCTCTTCATCCCAGTCCCAAATCAAATCCCTACAATTGTAGCATCTCTTGGTCATCCTTGGTCCCTCTCCTCACGTCCCTGTTTTATTCCCAGGAAAGCGCTTGGAGGCGTTGAGCCGGAACCTCCAGCTCGCCGGGTCCGAGGCCGGGCTTTGCCATGTGTTTTTCTCTTCGGAAGATGGCCACCGGGAACGAAAAGGAAGAACCTGACCCTATGGGTTATACCGGGATATACCGGGCCCTATGGGAGGGAAGTAGAGAAGAGTCAGATTTCTTGCGATTCTTAGGCGTCGACATGCTAAGTTTTGTGGATCCCTACAATTATAGATATTTTGTTGGGCATCCAAGAATCCTTTGGAACGTGCTGGACACGGAACAAGAGACGCACCATCGATCGGACTGAAGGAGTGTCTGGAAACCACACTGGACATGTAACCTCTACAACGAATCGACCAAGTAACCAACGAACCGACCAACTAAGAAGCAACCAACACCACAAAACGATATCCCCTATAAGGCCCTAAGATATTGTTATGGCTTGGGCTGCAGTTGCCCTTCGGTCCTTTCACAGTAGCTCTTTCCGAGTAGACCGGATAGTTCCCAGTTTGCTCGGCTTCTCGCCAGGAGCTCCGCCAGATGGTGAGTACAATGGAACACAAGCTGAAGGCATGGGGGTTTATGTGAGTGTAGGGCCTCGGTGTAGGGTGTAGGGCCTCGGTGTAAGTGTTTTAGGCAGTCCGGAATTATTCTTTTTTCACGGTTTTGGCCACTGCGATCCTACAGCGGTTTTGGCCGCTGCGGGATTTGCCAGGTGCAATCTGAGCAGTCCAGGCAAGAATACGAGGAGCCGTGGCTTTGCACCGAGCGAGAACTTAGCCGCTATAGCTTCCCCAAAATCATCAGAAACATGACCTATCACCTCAGGGGGAGGGAGATCATGGTTGTAACCATCTCTATACTGGAGAGTGTCCCAGCAATCTTTGGTTGCAAAGCTGCTGGACGCTTCGTGGGGAAGAAACCTCCGAAAGAAGCGTCCGATCCCAGATTCGAGCCAATCCGAAGCGGAAGTCTCATATGACTCATTGCGGCTTCCGAAGCGAGCTTTTGGAGGGTCCGGACCCCTGCCCAGGCACTCCACGGGGCTGCCATATTTCATGCCATCGCCGATCAGTTCGGAGGGTAAAGATGTACAGAAGCAGCATCTCTTCCAGTCCCATGGAGGCTTGGAAGGGCTATGAGGATTGCGTTCAACCCCCGTAGTAGAAAAAATAGGATCAAGTGACTCAAGTGTCATTTTTCATGGGCAACATACATTTCAGATATAAGAGCCGAACTTTTGAATGCCGGCCATGAGGAGTGACTCAAGGATTAACTCTGCTCACCGTGCATGGGTCGCCGACTCCCAGACTTGGGTCGCTCGACCCTGGTTTTTTGCGACTCAAAATCGATCTCGCTCTTGGATCGCCGAAGCAATTTGGGAAGGTTCAGTGTGTAACAGTTTTCCCAAATGTTTGTCTTTTCTTTAAATGTTTTGTTCTTTTTTAGTATATAGTATGTATATGTGACAGTTCATCAAGGCTCTGTTCAGTATGTTTTAGAGAGGAGAGAAATCACGAGGATCTAATTGGGGCTCCTCCCAACTTTCATACTGATTTGGAGATGATGTAGACTAACAACAGATTTCCATGCCACACAACATGTCGCCATACCACAACCAAAAGCGCACAGTCAGCGGGTAACCTGCATGGATTTTCCCACAAAAATCCAACAGGTGGAAAGAGGCCAAGCTGATTTTCCAGGGAACCGAAAGGGGTCAGGCCGAACTAAGACGCCCAGCGTTCCAAACCAAGACGCCCAGCGTTCCGTCGCGAAAGGAGCGACACTCGCTGGGTTTTCTGAAGCCTCCAAGGAGCTCTGTGCTGAGGAGATCCATTTGGAAGAGGCTTTGCAGGTGGGGTGCCCCACCTGCGAGGGGAGGAGAGGTGGGTAGACCTGACAGAGGAGAACTGGGAGCACTGTTTGTTCGGCAACGATGATACCACAGATTGGAAGATGCGTTTGGATGATCCAACCATCCATCTGATGTGTTCTTTTGCAGGCTGACACCCTTCCTGAAAGCTGGAAACGAGATTGCCACGGATAGCTCGTTTTTGCTTTTCATGCACAGTACATTACTGTATTTTATTTGTTATTGCATGTTATTGCTGCACCGTGCCTTCTTCTTCGCGTCTCACTCATCATCTCACCTGCGGACCTCGCCCACACCCGAGACCTCTTCCGTGACGCTTAGTAGCCACACCAGGCGGCTCACTCCACCTTGCTCTGACTGACTCAGTCCCTCCGTCGCCCACTTTTGGATCCACATGGAGGTTCCATAAATGGGGTGATTCGATTAAACGGAGGGTGAACATGATTAAATAACCAATTAATATTGATTTTAATTGATGATTTCTGTTTTTCCCTATCAATGGACACCCTCACATGCAGAATCAAATTCCTTCTTTGACTCTGACTATGTGTCATTTGTGGTTAGTTGATATTGTAGTCCCCGACATCACACAAGAAGCCAAGAAGCTCACGAAGCTACACTCACGAGTGAGCGGAAAGGGCAGAGATGGAACGAGCAATTCACTCTCGGCCGTGTCGGGGGCCCCTTTTGATGTGGCACCAGCACCTGCCGCACAGTGAGTGGTCAATGGTGGAGTCCACTGCAATGGCGGAATCGACCGCAACGTGTGTGCTTCATGGAGAAGGTCAACAGCGTGCCAAACATTTTTTGACGTTCCACATGTTTGCATACATGCCAACGAAGTGAGCAGCTTCCGACATCAGCTATTCAAATGCATGATTTACAAGATTATGCAGAGGAGGAAGAGGAACTTCCAAGAGGCATCAGATTGGACAGCAACTCCCTGTAAGTCTTCCTCCCCCGGCAATCCAGAACTTGTATACTGGTTACTGCGGCATTCATGCTTGTGTTTGAGAATTTTGTTGAGTCGTCGAGTCGTCATCCAACATTCCTCCCACAGAACGCACCAAGCAACTCTGCCTGAGACTGGCTACCCGACCTGACCTGATCTGGGGCCAGGCCTCCCTGGCACGCTTCGACGCCTGGACGAGTTGCGCCTCCGCCGTCGCGCCCGCCCGCAGCGCCCGCAGCGCCACGCCGGCCCGTGCGCCGCGCGCCCGGAGTGCGCGGAGCGCGCCGGGGCGGCGGCGCAGTGGGCCCAGCAGAGCCAGGAGTCAGCCAGTTTTCGTCATGCGAAAATGGTTCTATAGGGACTGGTGCACATGCAGAAACGCATAAGACTTGGGTATTGGGGCACTTCCTTTGTTTGGCTTCACCCACACTCAGAAGGAGCAAAAGGGGAAAAGGTAGGAAAGGAGACTGAGTATCGCAGGCATGGCTACTTCCGACGAAAGGAGGTATTGGTGTGGCTACTTGCGATGGAGCTACCGATACCTGTCAGTCCTGTCAGTTCGAGGCGTGGCCTTTGGAGATCACCATGCGATGCTTTTGACCAGTAACACGGTGCCGATGGACCTATAAAAGATCTGACCGGAATTTCTGGGACCGATGCGTGGTCGGGATCGTTGGACCAGTTTTTTGACCACACATATTTGTACCTTGAAATAGGGATGTCCAAATGACATGCCGGTTTCCCTGAAAGGAACACATGGTGCTTGTACCACATGTCCAGTTAGGCATGTCCAGCCTATGTTCCCTCGCCCGTCCAAAAGGGATGAAGCCGTGGGTCCAGCCGTTTGCAGGACTGGCCGAGATGTGAAGGCCAGGGTGGAGGAGCGAGAGCGAAGCTGAGAGTGAAGGTGGTGTGGTGCTTCAGATGTTGAACCCAAATCACTGGATCCCCACCTTGGTCAACCCCTAGGGTTTTCCACTTCCACCGAAAAGAGGGTCTAAAAGAGGTGGTTTGGGATCCACCAGGTTTGCGAGGGGCGCTTGGGGTCCTGGTCTACCACCCAACGCTCCGATCTGGAAGCCCCCGATCGGATCCTTCACGGCTGGCGAGAATAGCATGGAATTACACCGGGGAAGAGGACCCACATGGAACCGGGCTTGGCGACCTGACCGGAAGGACCATTCTCCTCTACAATCCGGTGGGTGTTCAGGTTCCATGTGGACCTCTTCCAGAGCGTGTTTTGATGAGTTTTGATTGCGGGGTTGTTGATATGATCTATGTATAAAAGTAGGGAGACCTCCCAGTTCGACCCGCTGGTGCCGGTTCGTTTCACCATCAACCTAGAAGTGCTAGAACTGGATAGCTGCCAACCTCGGGACAGCCATCTCCTAGTTGCTAGCTCTTCCGCAACTGCGAAGAGGGATCCGCCATGTGCACATGAGCCACGTTTTGCAGACCCCTTGCGAGCTTGTAGATGCGATGGTTGCCCACAGTTGCCAGCTGTTTTCGGGGTCACTGACTTGACACGCTCCGGGAACGCTCGAAGTTCACTGCATGTGCTTCGGCGCAGTTTCGAGACATCGGGTTCTACACATCGGATCACATCGGCAGTTCACAGCGAGACACATGGGGAATCATGGGGAAGATGGCCCGTGACAGCCATTTTTGCAGGAGATCTCCAAGAAGCTAGCGACGCCGCGACATGTTGGAGCGGGTCCGTTTTGTGTGGCGTTGAAGCATTGCAAGCTACTGCGGAAAGCCATGGATGTTTCAATTGTTGGAGACTGTAGAGGAAACCATGCCCTATTGCTTTTCCAAAATGCAACTTTCATCCCAAATGTATCCTCTGGATGTTTGTGATGCTTTCCACTGTAACAGGAACATCTTGTTTGGACATTGTGAAACATTCAACTCTAGTCCACGTGAATCCACCGGGCATAGGCATAGGAGCCTGCTTGCAGATTTAGCACCTGGAACCCCACTCTCAACAAGCATCGAAAAATACGATAAGTTATATAAGTTCCTGAAGCAGCAGTAGACTGACCTTGAACTTTTTTTCTACCCTACTGCTACTTACGAAAAGTGACCCAGTGACCCTGTGTCCCTAACTGACAAACTCTGGTGTTCCTTTTTCTTTTGTGTTCTTGCCAATTCGAGTGGCACTCAGTTGGATAAATCGACAGGCAGTGTCTCCCAAATCTGTCCAAACCACCGAACGAAAGGAAACGGTGAAACAGGAAAACCCGGGTCAGGAATCAAGTTGTGGCGATGGGGTTCCGTAAGGCTTCTGAGGATTTCTGAGGTACATCTTTGGGACTCAAAAGGAACATTTCAATTGATGAATTGTTGAACAGTCCCAGTGGCATGATGGACATAATCATACAATATCCTCTGGTGTCACAAAAACTGTTGAAAGTTGAAACTGGTAGAACACCTCTGGTCATTAGAGAAACATTTTCCCAACCCCTTCCGGAGTTTCCATGTTGGTTTGGAGGGTCGTTCCTTTCCCAGATGGGACATGCAAAGCACCTGGTCGTTTTGTTTGGAGGAGTTCTATCTATCGTGGTCCCGGTGCAATGGGCAGCCCAAAGGCACCAAACTAGGGACCTGACCCTGCACTATGCATCTAAAAGTACTGCACCGTACAGGAGATGGTGTCATATATCATCATATTATATCTATTCATCTGAACAGTACTGCTGCTGCCTCGTTGCCTTGTTGTTTAAATCATCATCTTGAGGTAGCTCCTTGATGTGTTGGTTCATCATCTTGAAATAGCACCTTGCCTCGCTACTGTAATTGTATATATATATATATTGAAATAGCACCAACTCCATGTTTATACTAGAGAAGAGATCTGGATAAATAGACAAATAGATGTATTTCTACAATACCGCATGACATATAGGAGGAGCACAACACAATGTGTACAAGGGGTGTTGAGTGGTCGGCCTTGTCAACCTTTGGCAGGAGGCTGGTGCCAAGCCGATCATGATGCTTTCCTACGTTGCTTGGATCAGAGGGTTTGGCAAGTCTGGGTCACCTTTTTAAAAGCGTAATCCAACATATCTCATCCCATTGAGGGATGTGGGGACATCCCTCACATACAGCTGGAATAAACACCATGTAGAATAGACTCAGGTGTATTTATCTCCAAGCCTGTTCTCAGAAGATACAAAAACTCGACGCTCGACTCGATGTTTAACAGCACTGCCCTGTGCACAGCTGGTCTATGATTTGTATTAGTGAAACAGATTGTTGGTTCATGGGGGCTTGAGATATAGACATGCATGGATGGAAACTTACCAAAACGTTTGGGGCTATATATACACAAGACCCAATACTACAATGGTCAGAAGCAACAGACATGGATTTTGGGATCCTACTTTGCAGAGTATGATGGAGGTAGACTAAAGGGATATAGAGATAGTCACTGAATAGCCCGTTTTTGACCTGCGGTGATGGGTTAAAACCTTACTAATACAACATACTTGTAGGGTAGCAGACTTTAGTCTGTTCTATGCGGTGTCTGAAGCTCGATCCATCCCTATGATGAGTGAACCCAGTTCCATCGCACATCCGGCAAGCTCAATTCAAGGCTTGCTGGTGGGACGCTTTCGCGGCCGTGCCACGGGGGACTTCCTCGCTGAGGTGCTTGGTGGGACGAGGGTACCGAGTACTCGTTTTGGGTGGGTCATGTACTGAGGGTATGGTCCACTCCTTCCACTGCGGAGTCCACTCCTAAAACTTCAAAAAGGGTGGCAGATTCTCGAAGTGTGGCACAGGACATCTTCCTCAATCCGTCTTGCGTGAACCAACGGCCCAGAGTATGGTCTTGTCTTCACACTTGATATACAGCTTTTCTTTGACAGAAGGACCGTGCGTGCCATTTCCTTCGTTGACCACGCGACCCGAATGCGTCGGTCGCACCGCGACGGCGGTTCGCACCGGGAGACGACGTGCCATGAGCCACAGCCCGATCTGCGTCTTGCCTGTCGGGGGTCCAAACCAGGCCTGCGCTGTGCACCTTTTGACTAGTCAAGAGGAAGCCAAACCGCTTTGGGAGGCACACTGGTTGGCGTAGCGGAAGCTCCATCCGCGGTGGAAGGTCGATGATCCTTGGAAGGTCGAGGAACGACTCCATTCGTTTCGAGGCGGACAACGACTGCTGGAGCTCTACGGCGGCACGTGCCGTAAGACGGACCGGTGTGCCGACACGCTGCCTCTTCCGGAAAAAGGCAGGTGTTGTCCTAATAGCGAACCTTGTTACTACTAGTAAGGCACCTGTTACTACTTGCGTGGCACTTGTTCCTAGTAGCTTCTTGTTTCTAATAGCTTCTTGTTACTACTAGTAAGGCACCTGTTACTACTAGGCACTTGTTCCTAGTAGCGTCAGTATGTGTGTGTGGACACGCATGTGTCTTCGAGTGCTGACAGCGACCAATCACATGAATACAACCTATCACCAGTGACCGATTTCAGCTTGCTGTTGGATTGGTGCTGGAGTGAGATCAGAGTTCGGGCTGGCATTGTGAGGATCCAGCATTTTGATGGCAAGATTGAGATGATGAATTGCAATGTGATCAGATCACATCAAGACGAACTAGACTTGTGTCTTGAAGAGTTTTCAAGACAAACGATGCTTTCAGTATCTTTCAGTGAAGCCAAATGTCTTGAGAGTCTTCTCAAATTGGTCTGGCTTTTTGCTGGGGACTCTTGTTGTCCTGGCCACCACTTCCGTGTGGGCTTTTCCACTTCCGTGTGATGTGTTCGTCGGAGTGTCACTTTGTTGACACCAGCCTCGACAGCTTCAGTTCTGACAAATGCAGCTGGAGTCGAGGCAGCTACAGCATAATTCATCCCATCAATGTTTGCAGTCTAGATGCCAAGGATCCTTGACCATGGGAGCGACTCTTTTGGTGATTCTTTTCCGAGTTTGGAACGGAACCTCGGCAAGACATCTCCTATCTTGCCAAGACATCTCCTTTGTCAATTTTTGTCCCACCATCAACTTTGTGGTGTGCAAAGTGCTACTATTATATATTCACAGTTGGGGGGAATTCACTGGCTATTCGCAGAGTGACACTCAATACAGAATGTGGCCACACAGTTTCTTTTGCACGTGCCTAATGGTGACTGCAAAAAAGGAAATATGGAGATGCTTGACCACCCAAGTAATTTACTTTCATCAATCAGTCAACATATTGTTATGAGTTCGATAGTTGACTTGGTGGGATTTATATACCATGTGACCATGGAGTGTGGAGCCCCTCAATAAAGCTGGTTCAAAGCTGTTGGACTTGAATATGTGATCGGAATGGCATGTCTCCAGCAGCTTTTTGTTGTCTCGCACCAACTTGGAAATGATGACCCACGCAGTATTCAGCCACCTAAAACCTCCTCGCATGCGCTTCGATCAACTGTGGCATTTCTGATGCACGTCGACCCATGTGCCATGGGCTTTGCCTTTCAGGCGCAGGAGCTCTTGCCGCATTTGCAGCATGAGCAGCTGCTTCAGCACGCACGATGGATGCTGGAGCAGGCCCTGGTCTGTGTGACTCTTGAGATCTCCAGGCAGTCGAGTCCGAACAGTTAAGAATCATCAGTCTTCTCATCAAGAGAAATGAGTAGATATGGAAGTCCTGGGAGATGACATTAATTACTGTAGATGCAACATGTCAAAAGTATCGCGCATCACCGCATCGCCTTGTTCTATCCATGAGCGATACACCTCAAGATTCCGGTGCTCCACACCTTGAGCCGAACTTCTCCCCACTGAATGTTTGCTCATTCCCAGATACCCGCTATGCCCAGTGGATAGGTCAATGGCTTCCCACAGTGAAGTAGAAGCTTTTTCAAAAGCCCGGTCCCCCATCCCTACTTAATTAAGTAGAGACTACCTGTATATACTTACTGTATATATATATATATATTTATAAGCAAGGAATAGAGGTTGCTAGTAGGTACAGGACGCTCCAAGGTAGGACGCAGGATAGTTCACGCTTCTTCAAGGAAGCTCCCCCCCGCCGCCCTAAAGGCGACGGGGGAAGCTTCCTTGACGAAGCGCTCACACTTAATCATTTGGTTCCTAGATTTTTTGGGGAAACTTAACCATGGGACGGTCTCCACTGACAGAGCAAGAGTGAACTCATTTTTTTTTGCCATTTGACGGTCTCAGCCCGAGCGAGCGGGTCGCTGTTTCCACGGGACGCTGGACAGGACGCCCTGCGTGCGGAGCGGCAGCAGCTTCTGGACGCGTGGCGTGCGGAGAAGGCGACCGAGGCACAGCGACCGATCGCCCAAGAGGCGCAGCAGGAGACCCGTAGACGAGGTATTTCTGAGCATCTGGCGGTGCTTCTTTTGTTGATTTGGGGAACAGGTTTTTCTTGTCCTGGTTCCTGGCATGGGGAACAGGTTGTCACCTTTTCTGTCCTTAAGCAAACCCAAGTCCCATTTTGGCTATGGCTCCACGCCATGGGGTAACACGCAATGGGCGAGGGGTTTTCTACACACCCACACCTCTCATCATCTCTCGTTGGCTTGTTCTGCCGTGTGCCTGCTGAATCCGGTTTCGGACTCGCAGGAAAGTCAGGAGCAGCTCCGTGCTGAAGAGGAGAGAAGGCAGAGCCTTGCTGAGAAGAAGAAACAAGTGGAGGCTGAGTACTGTGTTGAGCTTGGCGTTGCACATGCTTCAACTGGATCAAGGAACCATGAGGGCCGCTGAGGAACAGTTTCCCGTGAAGATAGACCAACCGGCAAGATGATTTTCTTGATGCAGGTTCAGGGTGGGCCGAGGAGCTAAAGGCGTTGCTCATCATTGGTCGCACCTACTCCCACCTGAGCAGCCCACTGGAAGAGTGGTCCACCAGACTCTGGAGGTGGCTATACTTTTGCTTTCCAAAGAACCCTCAGTACTTGTTCCTTTGCCGGACCCCCCTTAGGTCCTTGCATCTCTCATCCCTCCAGGCTTGGCGCCGGCAGAAAGGCCTTGAGGCTGAACGGCTGGCAGCTGAGAAGCTCCGCTGCGAAGAGGAACAGCGGCGGAAGGCCGCTGATGTGGCCGGTCTGTTGACTTCCAGGTCGTCCATTCTGTTCATTTTCTCTGGTCAACCCAGGTAGCACGGTCCACAGTTGGTCGGCTCTCCACAGCTGTTCCAGTTGGTCATCAGGGAAATATGCAACATGTAGGCTCAGTTTGTTCGCTGATGGACTGTATCATCTTCGAGCAGCTGAGTTCTTTGAGATGATACCCTCCCAATGAGATGGGACCCTAATCAGATGGAGCCCTGCAAGACCAAAACGAAAGCAGAGGTTGACCGGAAGTGCATTTTTGGGTAAACATGGAACATGGCGGAATTACTCTTCAGAGATTCCGCAGTTGTATGTTACCAGTATATCAGTATAATATCTATAACATCAATCCTGCGAAATCGGCAACTCTTGGGATTGCGAGCAGGGACGGGGTAGGAGAGTGCCCTTTCCAGGATTCTTCCATTCATTTGAGGAAGATTCCAGACCCACTTCCAAGTTTTGGATCGAGCATCTCCCACTCCAAGAAAAAAAGACACGTCGAGTCTTAAGGACGTCCTAGCTTCTCTCTCCATCTTTGATCCTTCGATCCCTTCCGTTCGAACTCCCGTTCCCCCCCGTGCGACGTCGTCACAGTACCGCGTCCCGGAGATCCTTCGGACGCTACAAACGGGGCTCCTGGCCGTACTGCTCTGCTAGAAGCAAGGACGCTACGAACCGGGCAGTACGCAATCAGTTGGCCAAACGAGACAAGCAAAGGAACGGATGAAATACGAGCCCCAGCCCGACCAAAAAGAGAGTGTGTACAGTGGTTTCAGAGTAGATGGCACAATCCTTTATGTGGACCCCTATATTAAAGACATCTTGGGGGGCCAGTGCCATCTACTCTAAAACCACTGTACCCGCAACATCTCAGACGTCAATTCGAACAGATGTGGCCGTTGGAGGCGCAGCGTCGGAGGGAGGAGCTCCAGACGAAGAAGCAGGCGGGCGCGGTTCTTTTAGAAGCTGCGACCTTTTTTCTGCGAAAACCACAGCATGGTGAAAGGGACTGTTAGAGGTCCATCTAATACCTGAATGTTTCCAAGGGGTTTGACAGGTATGTGTGCTGAGAGGGATTAAGTTGTTTACTTGACTATGACATCTCGGTGATCTAGGTGACCTGAGGGAAGTTGAGGATGGGGTATGCATTTGCAGGTTTCTCTGGAATCATTCCCAATTTTGCTAAATTTGTTAAATATACAATTTCTATCAATTTCTCAAATTAATACAGCAATCCATGTGAGCTACCAACCAATGCATACAGTACTATGCTGGCGCATGTTTCGTCTCTTTGTTTACCTTTTTGCGGAGCGGAGCGGGGGGCGGGCACCCTTTCCATCCCTTTGGTTTCCGGCCACGAGCTCTCCAGCAGATTGGACCCAAGAGTCTCAAGAGGATAGAAGACCCAGAGGATCCAACGAGACATCCACTTATATAGACAATCCTACCGTTGGTGTCGAAGTCTCAGACTATTACACTGGCTTAGCCGGTACCGTGAAGCAAAACGCCGATCAGTCACCCAGTCATTGAGAAGTAAGAACCCCTGAGCGTTCAGCTATCTGGCGAAAGATCAGCAGATTCAAAGCGACAAATTGAGAAGTGGAGTTTTGTAGTTTGTCATTGCTTGGTTCGACAGTCTGAAACAGAGCCCAAACAGCCCTGTTTTGTGGGTCAAGACGGTCAAGAAGAGAGTCTCACACACGGAGCTCGTTCAAAAAGTTTGCATGTCCAGTGCCGCCGTAAAACCCAGGACATGGAGCAGTGGCGGGAAGTCAAGAAGGAAGCTCTTCGGCAAAGCAAACGGGCGAGCCAGGCCGGCGGGCGGGCTCTGTCGCCAGGCGAGCTCCATGTGCTGCTCCAAAGCGATAAGGCTTCAGTTGGATTCATGACACTGTCAATTTGTAACTCCGCAGTCGTAGTACAATATATATATATATATATATATTATATATAACATTAATTATATGCACCGTACGGGGTTTCTTTTTGTTGCACGTTGAAGGAGATATGCAGCATTTTTGTTGCAATACTCTGCTCTTTTGCAAAGAGTTCCGGTGTGTTTTGGCAAGGCAACGGTTCCATGATTGGCCGCTCGGTGGGCGTCGATTCGCCTGCGTCTGGTGCCCCTCACCTGACCTTTAGGACCGGGACTTCTGACGGACAGAGAGAGAGGCGTTTGGGATCACACCACACACCATGACCTGCAACGGTGGACCATGACTGTCCCGAAGAGAGTTCCTCTATTTTTGATATATCGAACGGTGGCCGATGGACGTCAGAGATTTTTCAAGATGCAGACGAATGGTATGGATGGTGTCTCAGATCGATTTGAGACAGTCATCGAAACGGCGCCTTCCGATCCGCTGAACCCTTTTCATTCGAAGGCGAAAGTAGACAGATGTATTGTTCCTGGGCTGGACAGTGGCCTTCAGTTCAACAGATCGTAGTGTGCAAGTCATGTCATGTCAAATCCCCCCAAAACCAGGAGCTCGGAGTCTGGTGCGTCACTTGGAGGGATCGAAACCCCTTCGACGGAGGGGGCGACGGATTCTTCGCACGGCGTCCCCAGACGCTCCAGGCACCGAGCTCCGTGCCCTTGAGCCACGAGCAGCTGCAGCGGCTCCGCGCACGTAGCGAGCAGCTCCTGCGACATCGGGAGCGACCGGGGGGACGGGGGCAACGGGAGCGGGTGCGGTGACGGCGGGATGGAAAAGCGGCTTCGACGGGAAGGTTTGGGCGGCAGAAGTGGGGGAGTTTAGCGGCATAGTGGGCGAACGTGGGTTGCAACATGTCGTTGGCAAACATGTTGCAACCGACTTTTGTGAGGCGTGGTTGGGAGAAGACAGAGTCCGGAAAGCTCAACGGGCTTGGTTTGACCAAGAGGGGTGTGAAACGATGTGCACCAAGCCGTTCTGCTAGTTGGAATTGGGATTCTCACGTGACATGTTTTGACAGTCTTGTAGATTGCTCAGTATGCATAACACTGGCGCACTCTCGTGATATGTGTACGACAGAGGCCGGCGCTCCGCAGGGAACCAAGGTAAAATCAAACGGGTACCGGGTACAACCATCTTCCATGCAGAACGAGACCATCGGAATCATGCGGTGTTCCAGTAGTGGAATGAGACCATAGGAATCACTCTAGGGGTCCATAGTGACCATAGTGGTCACAAGGTACGGTACAGACAAGTGGCTTAGCGTAAATATGGCGAGTGAGACCAAAGAAATGCTCTGCAGATAAAGTTGAAGTGCAGGTGCAAGTGGTTGATCAGACCACTCATTAACCAAAATGACTTAAATTTGTTGGACTGGATGGGCAACTTTCAACATGTCATGTTACTTTGCAGCTATAGCTTTGTTGGACTGGATAGGCAAATCGGCTTGCAATATGTCGTGTTACTTAGAAAGTTTTCCGCACAGTGCTTTAACAAATAACAAGCACCAAAGCTTGCCAATGAATCCAGGGCTTGCGCGTGCAAACACACACACACAAAAGTCTTTGGAATCACGTGGAAGGCTCATGGCATTTCCAACTGGCCAATGACCATGAGCCAGTGCAAAGTTGGAGTGTGAGTTGGAGCGCTGCATGGATCACGTGTATCACCACACAGAAGTGTGCACATGCCTGAGACCAAGAGTTGTGAGTCCGGGTGCTGCCTATGGGCGACACATGTGTAGCCACATCTTCGCACCATGTGTGGGGGGTGTCGTGACACCTGTTGGCCAGCCGGTAAAGAATTACCACTATGTCAGTATGTTAGAGAAAGGCCTGCAACCTAACCGTCATCATCCACTGTTAAAGGGAATAGGATGTAATATACCATGATATACTATACCCAATGTTAAGGGGACTTTGTAATTATATAGTTTGTTATATTTACATATATAATATTTATATAATACTATTGTATATACACACTGCATATACTGTTTAGTTTGAGGGTCAACGCCACCTTCATCCAGGCCATTGAGCTGAGCTACTTGAGAAGATTCTTTACTGGCAGGTCCCACTGGCCATGGTTTCTCACCGCTTTTTCTTGCACAGGAGCAACTCCAGAGTGCTGCCAAGGCTGCCAAGGGGCGCTTTGCACCCCCAGAGCGGGCGGCCAAGAGCGAGGCGAGCATCCTCGCGTGGTTTATTGTTTTTGTAAGCAGAGTCTTCTAAGCTCTTCCAGAACACTGTTTGTTTTGCTCATTTTCCCGATTCCTGTTTAGGAAGGAAGAGTTGCTTCTTCTGCCCGGCCAACATTTTGACTTGGGCCCAGCGGAAGGGAACATCAAAAGAACCAACACATGTGAAAAAGCTTTGTACAGCTTCGTCATGTCCCAAGATTTTCGAGAAGCAGAGTGGAGGATTTGTCCGACAGGTGTTGAAATTAGATGGGCCAGGACAGGAATCGCTAACCTCATGCTAATCCGCTAGTTGGGGATGGCTTCAGTCTTGGGATTGGGGATTCCAAACCCTTAAGATCCGTTCATCCAAGTCGAAGACCTATCAGCATGCACGTGAAGATGTTCAAGTGAATTGATCACATCAACTTGGCAGGGCCTAGGTGGCTGTTGGGCGGTGGATATGCTACACGTGATCACATCACTGCCCTGGTGAGGCCTATGCGCATGTACAAGGCCGCCTAAGCAGCAGCACTCAAGACTTTGTACTCCGCGCACGAGAGCGTCAGGAGGAAGAGGCAGGTCGCTGTGGACGGAGGGAACTGGGACGACGAAGCTGGGACGACGAAGGGGTGACCAGGGCGTTGCAGGTGCTGGACGTTGAACATGTTGAGCCAACTCGGTTCGTTCTTTGCTCTCCAAGCTTGGCATAGCTTGGCCAGTCCTGGACTGCGTCCCTGTGTGTCCCCCCGACCTGTCATGAGCCGTGCACTATAGTACAAAAGCCTAATGATCAACCAACCGAATCTCGTTTCTGGAACGGAACCACCAGCTTTTCCAAGACCATCCGGGCTCCTTCTTTCCTGCCGAACGCTCGCACCGACTCGGCACCAACCCTCCGAAGCTGGGAAACACTCGATGCCCCCCACCGACCCTCGTGGAGCGACGAGCCGTGGAGCGGTGGAGCCCGGAACGGTTGGTTTTTCGTTAGCAAAATGGGTGAGAATGGAAGCTACTAGGGGATCGCTACGAACGGAGCGACGCTGCGTGCGGGGCTCCTGGCCGTACTACTAGGATCTACTAGGAGCATCCTTACTACTAGTAACAAGAAGCTACTAGGAGCAAGAAGCTACTAGGGTGTCGATGCATCTTTCATCACCTAAATGGACTCGTGGACTTGCAGGCCTTTTTCCAATAGGGTTGGCGCTTGTGAACTGAACCCGTGGAACATATGGAACTTTTGTTAAAAAACCGACCTGGCCGGAGAGGTGGGCACTGCCGCATTTCATTGGCGTACTGCTCAAGGGTTGCATTTTCTCGCCAGGCTTTCAATCCCTGTTCGAGTCGTCCGACTCCCCATGCTGCCAAGCTGGCAGGTGGCCACCTTCTGCCGTGGACGGGTTGCTGGGAACTTTGCTCACCAGGGGCTGGTGAGGACCCTGAGAGCCTCCCCAGGATGGCGGAACATGTGCTGAGCTTTCCACCTTGGGGAGGAGCAAGGGATGCTTCTTCAAGAGATGGGTATCAATTGGGTGTATAGGGCACAGGGCACGACGTGGCACATGTAGAATATCATACAATCCCCGGGCCTATAGATGGAAACCGTGATCCATAGAACACGGGAAAAAGGCTAGTCCGGGTATTTACGGTTCATTCCTTTTTCTATTTATTTACCAGGCTACCGCCTGCAGCCGCCGACCCCCAAGGGATAGAACCTTAGCGCTAGCCTTGCTCTAGCCAGAGAGGTGGGGTGAGGCGTGACTGTCGATGTTAGCCTTAAGCCTTAGCCTTAGCCTAGCCTTAGCCATAGACTTAGCCTTAGCCATAGACTTAGCCTTAGCCTTAGACTTAGACTCAGACCTTACTTTTTTACCTTTCCGGACCCGGGGTTTGTTGTAAAAGGGAGTTGTAGGATTTCCCAGGTCTGCGTAGAAAATTGCGAACCGATTTTCTTCCAATGTTGTAGAATTTTCTAGGACTTCCTCTTGTGTTTAGGTTCCCAGATTTCCCCAAAAGTTGATTAATCTATTGTTAACCTATTTGATTCTAGTGTTCCCGGCAAGTGCCCTGGAATTTTCCTAGGAATGCTCTAGGCTTTGTTTAGATTTTGCGCTGGACGAGGTCCGGCCAGTGCCCGTGGTAACGTGAAAGGCTCTGGTAAGATTTTCGCATGCCTGTCAGGCGCCCGTGTCCGCGCCATGTGGCGTGTTGGTTCTAGGACGGAGCAGCGCAAAAGGATATCATTGCCCAAGAATTTAGACCCAACCCTTCACCACCAAAGCAGGTACCCAAAAAGTCGACTTTTTGGGTACCTCCC